CGGTGGGTTTTTACAAGCTCGACTTCCCCGGTGCGAGATGACACGGCCCATTTCCATCATATTTGGGCCTCGCTAATGTAAAGCAGTGACGCGTCATCCGTGTTTATATACGGGCTGTGAGTCAGAGGAACAGCGACACACTGTCACTGTCACAATAACACAGAACAGCTGTTTTAATGTCATTCCTCCCGACAGCTGGACTGAAATTACATGATGGCTTCCTGTGTTCGTATTAGCGTTCAGGCCACCGTGACCTCCGTCCTTTTCATCCACCCATGCAAAGTTATCAGATCTCTGTGCGTCCCGGGGAAAAGATGGACCTTTCTTTTCCAGTATCTGCATGAAACACTCGGAGTGCAGAAAAAGTCATCGTGACAAAGCACGGAGGCTTGTAACGAGCACGGAGACAGCAGCAAGTACTGAAACATTAAAGAGTCTGCAGGAGTCTACATGTTTACTGCATTATGCAGGGAAATTATGGAAATTAAGGAAAAAGCTACTCAATTCCCTGAAACAGCTTTTATAGTAGTGGACATGTCAGCATAAAGTGCTCCCCTTGGTCGCCCACAGAGATGGTGAAGCTCTAATATTTCAGCCTCTGCGATATCAGGCGGGGAGGGAAAAAGACAAAGCAGACCTTTGGGTATTAAGCAGGAGCGACGGCCCATCCAGCGCTGTTGAGAGACGGACCGTAAGCCTGTTAAACTGTCTCTGAATCCATCCGTGACCCTGTAAGAAGATTTACCGCAGCTTTGATCTCCTGTGTTCAGCCTTTTGTTCAGCTCGCTCAAACTTTTGGGAAACCGCCATTGTTTTCATTCCAGAGCTGATAATAAAAAATGCAGAGAAGAGTATCTCCATCTAAAAGTTGGCTCATTAATAAAGGATGTGAGGCTGCGGGAGGAGGAAGAGTCGACGCGACAGAACAGGAAATCGCTTTAGTATCAGTCGGCCTCAGCCTGACTTCACAGGAACTATTTGTGGTTTCAAAGACAAAATCTCACGAGCCTCAAGTTTCACATCGCGGAAGGCAGATCCACTGTAAATCCACAGGATCCACCAGAACCAGGAGCTACAGTTACACCAATATCAGTCATGTGATATCCATTATCCAGTCACGTGTTCACACCACGCTGCAATCGTGCCAGAGAGCTCCAGGCTTCCGTTAGCACGCTAAAGGTTAAAGTTAAAGCTGGTTTGGAAGGGCTGCAGGAGAAAGCCTCTCCTCTCTGGGAAGAACACGGCAGCACGGCTGACGTTTGCAGATGTTCGTCCTGGACCGCCGAGCTGCTGCGACGGTCCGGTCCAGACCTCAGTGTGTGACCCTCAGACAGCCGTGCATCAACCTCAGTGAACTGAAGCAACGCTGTGAAGACGCGTGCGTGAAAATCTGTGTCCACGTGAGAAACGGAGGATGAAACCGTTACTTTAGGTTATTGCTGCTACAGGAGCAACGAGCTGCTGAACGAGCGGAGAGCGTCGAAGCGTCAGCCACAGCTGAGTCGTGGCTCATTCCCAAAGCTGTGTGAGCTCAGGCCCAGTTTGCACACATTAGTCCAGTACAGGCTAACCGACCCCATGATTCAATCTTAGACTGAAGATTAAAGCTTCGACATCCTCCTCTTCCTCTTTCTGTAACCACTGCCCCGCTCAGCAGCCCGGGTATTCTGATATTTCTTCAAGTTAAAACTGCTTTGAGTTTTTGACACATCTCTTTAAATGTTTCACAATAAAAGCCTTATTAAGAAAAATATGTGAAACACAGAGAAGCTTTTAATGTGAAACAACCACAGGAAACACTGAGTTTGTATAAACAGGGTAATTTAAATAACACGACCAAAGGAAAAGAGGCTGAAAGGAGGCACCGTGCCAGCTTTTACGCACTTTTAAGGTGGAATGGTTTTTACATGTTGGTGCGACTCTTGACACCTTAAATGTGGCTCTAACCTTCAGTTTGCATTTACTCGATTGCACGCAGAACAAACTGAATGTGAATATTTTATTTCCTGTCTGAGGGTTTTTCCGGTCTGCACCGAGATCATGTGACACTTCAGAAACTGATCCCAGTTTTCCAGACTCGTCGATCTTCAGGCTCAGCAGGTTTGAACAAAAGCGTGACTCCTTACATCGAGAGAGACGGAGGATTAACGCTGTAAACTTACAAGAAATCAATAAAAATGAAGAATCGCCATTGAAGACTCACAGTCTTAAATATGTGAGGGTTACGTGCCGGCCTACAGCAAGCTTGGACATGATCCAGGATCAGTACTTCGCTCTTTAAATAAGTGAAAGGCAAATAAACTGTGAGCTCCTCGTGTGCAGCCACACTGCTGTCACTGCTGAAAGCTGAACGTGAGCTCGTTCCCTGAGCTCAATCATCGAGGCTGCTGGCGGTCAGCAAGCCATCAGAGCACTGACGGCTCAAGCTTCTCAAACCTCCTCTGACTTTGTTTCCTCGGACAGACCTCGCTGTCTGTGTGAGCGACGTTTCATTCAGCAGCGCTTCCTGCAGAGCGAGGATGGCCTGCGAGCGCGTGCTGTCAGCGGATTGGCTGGAAACTAACTGGGACTGAATGATGAGAGAGTTTAATGAGTCACGCCGGAGCTGAAGGACTGACCCAGTTGGTGAGACTCTGAGGGGCAGCCTCAGAGTTATGCCAGGTCACGATCCGTCACATTACTGTTTGGTGATATTGATCACTGTGCCTAATTATCCAAACAGGAAGTGAACAAGCTGTAAAGCAGACTCAAACCGTGTCCTATAAAAGGAGTCAGTTGTCCCACGGCTGTCCCTCGAGTGCACGCTCTGATCCCTGCATGTGTGACTCAGAGATGTGGTCACATGATCGTGGACTCAGCCAGCGATGAGCACGTTTACACATGTTCACACCACAGGACGGTAAAGAGGCCATCGTACCGACCGTACAGATACAGACACGCAGATACGAAGTCCACGGCAGCCTTGAGCAGCCTGCCATCGCTCCCTTGCAGATTAAAACAGCTGTGAGATTTTCTGGACAGAATTTTAGGCGCAGTGAAGGGGCGGAGCGAGTCAGTTGTTGGCGTGATCACAGTTTGCAGCTCTGCGTGTGAAGCAGCTGCGATGAGGATCAGCACCACCCAGTCTGAGGACTTCAAGTGTTTGGGGTTCACCATCTGGGGCGATCGTGGCTCAAGAGTTGGGCGTTCGCCTTGTAATCAGAAGGTTGCCGGTTCGAGCCCTGGCTTGGACAGTTGTTGACCGTTGTGTCCTTGGGAAAGACACTTCACCCGTTGCCTACTGGTGGTGGTCAGAGGGCCCAGTGGCGCCAGTGTCCGGCAGCCTCGCCTCTGTCAGTGCGCCCCAGGGTGGCTGTGGCTACAATGTAGCTGCCATCACCAGTGTGTGAATGTGTGTGTGAATGGATGGATGACTGGGTGTGTAAAGCGCTATATAAATACAGGCCATTTACCATCTCTGCTGACTGACCACATCAATGAAATCTGATACAAGCGACATGTTTTCACTCTCGGAGCGTCGTCAGGGCTCAGAGAGGAGCTGAGGCGTCCTGGTGCCTCCACAACAGACCCACAACAGGATCGGGTTACTACTAATTAGGGATGGGTATCGTTTAGGTTTTATCCGGTGCCAAATCGGTACTTTTGAAACGGTGCCGGTGCTTAAACGGTGCTCAAACCGGTGCTTAAAGAATGGAGAACACAAAATTGGTCCAAAAACCTCTCATGTTCAGCTGTTTTTTGTAAAAATATAACAATGTTAGCCTTTTCTGCAGCTATGGGGCATATATGGTATCACTCTTGGCTGGAAGCAGTGCTTAAACAATGGAAAAAACACAAACTTTGTCCTAAACCTCTCATGTTCAGCTGTTTCCCACTTTTTCTTTGGTCATTTTAGCCTTTTTGGCCAGGGTGAAGGGAGTATCTGCCATCAAACAAGAAGACAGCCGCATGTAGCTATGATGATGTTTGCTAGTTCACCTTACATGCATTAATATAATAACGTGGTTAGCCTACTCAATGTAAATTAGCTACTCACGCAGAGAAGAACAGCTGCTGCTGCCATCATCATCATTTCTGCTACACTGGCAGGGCTAGGGGCCAGGACTCTCCTCTTCTTGTTTTTGGGGGATGTTGCATAACAGGCAACCCACCCGCAGTAGATGTGCTCGGTGTGAGGTCTCGCAGCGAGCTATCAAATACGGCGCATTTCTGGGCTTTTAAAAAAACGCTATGCGTCGCCAGGTGTTTCATCGGATTCTTGGTGTTACCTCCTTTGACAGTATCACAGTATCAGCTTAAAGCACTTGTTGCTGCTGAGTTTGCATCTTTTGCTGTGAAGTACAGCCAGACTTTTAACCGCTTCGCCTTGGGCATTTTTAATCTGTAGCTCTGCTCTAACAGAACGTACGTACCTGGACCCGCCTACTATCCTCGGAAACGTAAAATGATTGGCTAGAATCTAAAGTGTATCACAGCTCAGGAAATAAAGCACCGAAATGTGCGCTGCTTTTCGGTCTGGTTACTACCGTTTATGTCAGAACCGGTGCCATCATGGCACCGGACACCGGTACCCATCCCTACTACTAATAATTAACGACTTTACCTGCACAGGTAAACTACTGGACTAACAGCTGCTTCAGGACAAGCATCATCACGTGCACGTGCTCAGCCACTCCAGGCTCCTCAATCAGTCAGCTGTCACGTGACACATGGGCGCGAGCGGAGGCGAGGGTCATTCTGCCCACGCAGTCACTGATAACCCTGATCCCAGCAAATTATACCGAGGAGACTTCACACAGAAAACATCAGCGATAAAAATAAAACTAAATAAATATGAAATGAAATAAAAACATTAAAATAAATGCATCAGCAGCCACGTTTCTCTCACATGAACATTTCAAACACAGTTTGAAGTTCAGCTCCATCCTGAAGCACCTGTGACTCCAACAGGAAGTCCTCAGCGTGCCTCACACAGGTAAGGGGGGGTTGGGGGGTCGTACCTGAGCAGCAGCACTAACCGCCACGCGAGCAGGCAGCCCGCCGCGGACAGCGTCCTCCTCATGCCGGTCAGAGCCTCGCGCTGCTGTCCTCGCGCCTCTGGATGCTTTCAGCACCGCGAACAGCGCTCGCGCTCCAACTGTGCTCACACGGCACGCGGGGGGAAGCTCACGCACATGCCGGAGAAACGGAGCGCGCTCCGCTGGGTCCCATCACCGCGGACAGCGCGCGCAGCTGTGCAGACCCGAACTGGGCTCGTTCTGTGCCCTCGCGAGGCACGGGGCACCAAGCCCCGCCCCCGCTCCGGATTACGTGAGTGGCAGGCAGCTCGACCAATCGTGTCTGACACCAGGAGCCCGCGAGCTGCAGCCAGAGTGGCGTCTTTACCGCTCTCATCTCCGCCTGTATGTGTCTACCCCCTCCCCTGCCCCTCCTGCTCCTGCCCCTCCTGCCCTCTTGTACTCTTCCTCCTCCCCTCCTGCCCTGCTCCTCCTCTTCTCTCCCTGCTGCCCCCCTCCTCCTCTCCTCTTCCCCTCCTCCCCTCCTGCCCTGCTCCTCCTCTTCTCTCCCTGCTGCCCCTCCTCCTCTCCTCTTCCTCCTCCTCCCCTCCTGCCCTGCTCCTCCTCTTCTCTCCCCGCTGCCCCCTCCTCCTCTCCTCCTCCTCCTCCTCCCCTCCTGCCCTGCTCCTCCTCTTCTCTCCCTGCTGCCCCCTCCTCCTCTCCTCTTCCTCCTCCTCCCCTGCTCCTCCTCTTCTCTCCCCGCTGCCCCCCTCCTCCTCTCCTCTTCCTCCTCCTCCCCTCCTGCCCTGCTCCTCCTCTTCTCTCCCCGCTGCCCCACTCCTCCTCTCCTCTTCCTCCTCCTCCCCTCCTGCCCCCCTCCTCCTCTTCTCTCCCCGCTGCCCCACTCCTCCTCTCCTCTTCCTCCTCCTCCCCTCCTGCCCCCTCCTCCTCTTCTCTCCCTGCTGCCCTCCTCCTCTTCTCTCCCTGCCCCCTCCTCCTCTCCTCTTCCTCCTCCTCCCCTCCTGCCCCCCTCCTCCTCTTCTCTCCCTGCTGCCCCCCTCCTCCTCTCCTCTTCCTCCTCCTCCCCTCCTGCCCTGCTCCTCCTCTTCTCTCCCCGCTGCCCCACTCCTCCTCTCCTCTTCCTCCTCCTCCCCTCCTGCCCCCCTCCTCCTCTTCTCTCCCCGCTGCCCCACTCCTCCTCTCCTCTTCCTCCTCCTCCCCTCCTGCCCCCCTCCTCCTCTTCTCTCCCTGCTGCCCTCCTCCTCTTCTCTCCCTGCCCCCCTCCTCCTCTCCTCTTCCTCCTCCTCCCCTCCTGCCCCCCTCCTCCTCTTCTCTCCCTGCTGCCCTCCTCCTCTTCTCTCCCTGCCCCCCTCCTCCTCTCCTCTTCCTCCTCCTCCCCTCCTGCCCCCTCCTCCTCTTCTCTCCCTGCCCCCCTCCTCCTCTCCTCTTCCTCCTCCTCCCCTCCTGCCCCCCTCCTCCTCTTCTCTCCCTGCTGCCCTCCTCCTCTTCTCTCCCTGCCCCCCTCCTCCTCTCCTCTTCCTCCTCCTCCCCTCCTGCCCCCCTCCTCCTCTCCTCCTCTTCCTCCTCCTCCCCTCCTGCCCCCCTCCTCCTCTTCTCTCCCTGCTGCCCCCCTCCTCCTCTCCTGGCTCCATCTGTCTCTGGTTCATCGTCTTTCTGCTCTGCTGAGCAGGAGTTTGGAGAACCACATGTGTCTGTGATTGGCGGCTGTGTGGAGGACGGCGCTCCCGTGCGCTGGATGGAGGCCATGGTGATAATCCCTCAGTTATGACTTCACGTGTGGAGTTCCAGCTGCAGGAATAATAAACATGATTTTAACATGTGGAGGTATTAAGGTTATTTTGTTTTCCTTGTGAGGTCATCGGAGGTTCAGGTGATGTCACGCTTGTAACGGGGCCTGGGTGGATGAATCTACAGGTGTGCTTTAGGTGTGGCAGACTTCTTGGGATGTTGTCGGGAATGTTTTTATCCTGGATGCTGAACACCAGTAACACTCAGGTTACCTGAGGAGTGGGTGGGAACAGATGTACTGAAGCCTCAGCTTTGATGGAGGAACCTTCACCCCTCCTCCTCCTGCTGCCTCCATTCATTTCCTGAGCTGACTGAACGACCCAGAACGTGGCTCTGCGCCGCACGTGCACATGTGACACTGATGGGATGATGAAGGTGCTGAAAGCGAGAACATCTTTCAGGCACTCATCATCATGTTCACAGTAATGTGTATGAACGAGACATCAGCGCGGTGACACTTTTAACGCACTCCTTTCACCTGCCCCTCATGCATGGTCCCTGCCCCGGCTCTCTCAGCGTCTGTGCAGCACCACAGCACGCTTTACCTCCGAGTGAGGGGTCAGAGTAGGGGTGGCTTTTTATAATCGATTTATCGATTAAAATCGATTCTGGCTTGGATAACGTGAAATCGATTCATTAAAATCCTGAATCGATTTTTTTATATAAATTTATTTTGCCCGAAACGCCAGAATCTCAGGTGAAACCTCAAAATTTCAACAACCACCAAACAGCTAAGACAGTAAACGAGAGCAGGAACAGGATTCTGCACAGAGACGTAAACACACAGCGCGACCCGCGGATCAGAATCAGTGAGACGTGACTTTCTCACCCGACGGCACGGACACGGTCGGGGCTGAAAGCCGACAGCTCGCTGATTCTGATGCGTTGCCGGGTCCGCGCTTTGTGTTCACGCCATTTTTGCGCTGATTCTAAAGCTGTTAGTTTAATGTCTCCAAACATTATTGACCGAACCAGCAGCAAAAGAAGATCCAAACTACGAAAACACCCCCTTTTTTTTTCGTTTTACATACTTCCGAAAAGAAAACCTAATTTCTGCCGTTCAATACTGAACAAATTTAAACTTTCTAAAATTATGGAAAATGCAAAACGTTGTGTCTCTAATAAAACCGCTGCAACTCAGAGGTAACGTTCATGTGTTGATTCAAGGTTTTCTTTCGTTTTTGATGTGCTGCAGAATATTTGTATAAAATCCAGGCCAGGAAAACCACCTTCATGTTTTTCTGTTTTTTCTTCAGCGACTTTGACACAAAGGCCTCTGCTGTGACGCTCACACCTTTGATAAAGTCTGGAAAGTGTCAGCTTCCTTTTTATAGATACAAAAATATGTAAATGTACTGATCTGAATTATAATATTTCTGACTGTCAAAATTTCCCAGATTCAAAGCAAATTGAATCGTGGATCGAATCGATTGGGAACCTTGTGAATCATTCTAGAAATCAGTGACGATACCCAGCCCTAGGTCAGAGGCCTCTTCATGCTCACAGGTGAGCCTTTATTCTCCTTTTGGGCTCGAATGAGACTGAATGTCCAAATTAAACATGTTTTATTCAGAATGAAATTAGCTTGAGAACATAAACCCACCAGGAAGGTGTGCACAGAGCAGTAACACGGGCTTACGATCCAGCACGTCGTCCCCTGCTGGTCATTATGATGATTTCAGGGTTGAGGCTTCGCCTTGCAGTGCGTGTGCTACGCTTCTTCTACTTCCAAAAACTCAGCAGCCATGATGGCTGTCTCCAGCTCGTGTTCTCACTTCATTCAGTTTGAGAAACTCGAGGAGTTTTTAAACGATCCTTGTTTTGCACAGCAGAATCACAGTCAGAAACACTCAAAGCTCACATGTCAGTACCTGGACTGATCCCACTCCACTTTCACCACATCTATCATGGATGACTGCAGCCTGTCAGACACATCCTTTACATCACCAAGAACTTTTTATAGCGTCGCCAGGAGCCCAAAAAAGTCAAATCATTGTGGCTGGAGCCGCCGACCCCCTCAGACCCCCCCTTCTCATGGTAAACATCCCGAAGGATGCGCAGCACAGCAGCGAGTCCTTGCAGCAGATTACAGCCTGTGAAGACCGGACTCTCCAACGATCATGTGATCTCATCTGAAGAGAAACGACAATGAAAACACCGAGCCGCAGGTCCAACACACACACACACACACACACACACACACAGACACACACACACACACACACACACACACACACACACACACACACACACACACACACACACACACACACACACACACACACACACACACACACACACAGCTCTGTTTCCAGCATATGTCCAATAAAAGATGTTAAATCTTTTTGTTTTAAGGTGAATCTTACTTGATTTTCTTCACAGCCTTTCTTTACGACCAGAGCTGAATATGATTTACACACAAAACACAACAACACTAATAATAATAATAATAATGATAAATATTAAATATATCAACAAGAGAAGCAGGAAGAAGCACGCTGTTATTTAAACTCAGCCCACACTGTTACTGTCACGGCGGGGTGCGCCGATGTGTGTGGAAACAGGACCCAAAAGCAGATGACGACGAGGAGTAGTAAGGTCTTAACAGAAAGGTGAGGCTTTATTAGATGACGGCAGAAGTAAACCAGGGCCCTGTTTCAGGAAGCCGGTTTAGTGCAAGCTCTGAGTAAGTATATCCTGAGTTAACGAAAACTCTGGGTTTTCGGTTTCACAAAGCGAGTTTAGATTAATTCTGAGTGAGTTACTATGACGACACACTCCGTGAAGCTAACCTGCCCCCTAGCAGGTTTACTTCAACTAACCCTGACCTTCTCCGCCCCTTTGTCGGAAACCTGACTGTAGGAAGTGTCAGACATGGCGTGCTCCTTCCTTGAAGAGCCAGTAGATGTTGAAGCCCAAATTCTCTGCAGAGCTCTCCGCTGGGAGAGAGTGATTAGAGCGCGTTCGGACATTTTATCATTTCCTGATGATTTTCTGTGTGAACGTTACCGTTTTTCAGCACAATCTATAATTTATTTGAATAACATCCTCAGGCCATATATTGCTCATGTGACACATCGCGGACATTCTCTCAGTTCTGTACATATTATTTGTATCGCACTTCGGTTTTTTGCAAACGGGAGCTTTCTGTATAATATTGGTGACGCTGAGCACGTTTCCAAGGCTACCGTCTGTCGGGCAGTCAGGAATGTTACAGTTGCACTGAAACGTCTCCTGTACTCGTTTGTGGTGTTCCCCGGTCACAGACCCACAAGATTTATCAAAGAGGGATGCCACAAAATTGCAGGTATCAGGATGAACAAAACTTAATTCATGATGTGGTGATACTTGGACTACTACTTAAAGTTTACATTTATTCTCACGGTTCCCAGGCGTGATTGGCTGTATAGATGGCACTCACATTCCAATCATTGCTCCTTCAGTAAATGAAGGAGACTATGTGAACAGGAAGTCTTTCCA